AGACACCACCTGCCCCGGCAGCAATGACTTGTTTACCTGACCAGTGATGACAATGATAACAACTTCTCTGGAATCTCTCCCCCAAACAAGGACTAAGATAATGATCCACCAGAACACACATGTGACCAGGTCTATTTGATAATTATGCATACCTCTCACCTCTTGTCCCCAATTCTTTTTCTATGTAAGCCTGAAGATGGCAGAAGAACAACAGAAGTGCTGTCTTCTCATGGCATACCCTACACATAATAAACCTTTCTCTGCCTTTTACCACGTTTCTTTATTTTGTGTATAGGGGCTGGACCTGACATGTAGAATCCCAAGAGTTTGTGCCTAGGGCCTAAATATCCATTTTTCACTACTATAGCAAAATAGCATAGACTGAGGAATTTATACAGAACAGAAACTTATTTCTCATGATTCTGGAGGATGGGGAGTCCATGATCAAGGAACCAGCATATTCAATGTCAGGAGCCCAGTTCCTGCTTCCAAGATGGCACCTGGAGAGTTGCATCCTCCTATGGTGGGAGGTGGAAGGTCAAAAGGCCAAGGGCCAAGTGAAGCCTCTGTTACGAAGGCCTTAATCCCATTTATGAGGCAGAAGCTATCATAGCCTAATCTAATAGTTTCTCACCTTGCAGTGTGCTGATAATGATTTCACATGGAAATATTCCATTTAAAAGACATGCACAGTGATAATGAGTCTTTCTGCTAGTATTTCAATGAAAGAGAAGCCCCAGGTCATGTTTGTAATATCTGTATTTCCTAAAGGGCTGCTAGTGACTTCATGGGCTACCTGGTAAAGCTTTTACATTTGCCCAAAAAAAGACAATTTCATTTTGATTCTGAAAGGCTCCCAAAGAATTATATTTCCCTCTAGGTTACCAGAAAATGATAACAAATCAATTTCTCTTTTAAAGTTACAATCTTTATGTTGAGAAGGAACAGTTTTTCCTTAGTTTTAGCTCAAAGGATTTTTTTTTTTGATGGTAGTAGCATGTGAACTTAGGACCTTGCACTTGCTAGGCAAGCATTCTAATACTTGAGCCACATTCCGAGGCCTTTGTGCTTTTAGTTATTTTTCAGAGAGAGTCTGGATTTTTGCCTAGGTTTGCCTTGGACCATGGATTCTCTTTTTAATACCTCCTGAGTAACTTGAATTACAGGCATGTACCATCATCACACCTGTTTCAAAGGTTGTTTTTAATCAAAATTTAAGTCAAGCTGTGTGCTGGTGACTCACACATGTAACCCTAGCTACTTGGGAAGCTGAGATCTGAAAGATCACAGATCAAGACCAGCCTGGGCAAATAGTTCTCAAGACCCCCATCTCCAAAATTACCAGAGCAAAATGGACTAGAGATATGGCTCAAGTGGTAGAACACCTGCTTTGAAAGTGTAAAACCCTAAGTTGAAACCCCAGTTCTACCGAAAACAAAGAAACAAACAAAAATTGAAGTCAAATGTCTGGGTTAAATTTTCTCTTGGGGAAGGAATTGTATTTAAAACCTTAAAGAACATTAGTAACAAGAAACAAGATTATTTTCACTTAGGAAATTATGTTAGTGTGTATTACAATGTGCATATGCACTCTAATGTCTTATTAGTCTCTCATAATATTCAGAATCTGTAACCTAAATAGAAAAATACAGAATAAATTTTATATTTTATGTATGCCAAGAACTGAGCTAAATAGTTTCCATGCATATGCTATTCAATCCTCATTATCCTGTGAGATAAGTACTCACATCTTAAGAAAATCTATTGGGATTTAATTTATATATAATAATTGCATCTATTTTAATTGTGAGAGTCAGTGAATTTTGTTAATGTAAACACCCATGCAACCACCTCCACAATAATGATGAAGAATATCTCCATCATTGCAAAATACTTTTTACGCCCCTGTTCAGTCAGTCTTTACCTCCACCTCTGACTTTGGAAATCATTGATGTGCTTTCTGTCACTATAATTTTCTGAGGACTTATAGAAAGTGTGGTAAGAGGAATCCTAAGGTGGACTCAAGATTTTTTAGAGTTTCATATAAGTGAGATCATGATGTGTGCAGCCTTTTGTGTCTGTCTTTTTTCATTTACCACATGCTTTGAGATTAATCCATGCTATTGCATGTACCAGTAATTCATTTCTTTCTATTGTCAAGAAATATTCAATTGTAAGAATGGATCCCAATGTGTTTATCCATTTATTAGTTGATGGACAGTTGCGTTGCTTCCTTTTTTGCTTGTTATGGATAAAGCTGCATTGAACAATCATGTTAAACTCTTTGTATGAACTTAGGTTTATTTCTTAAGAGGACCACTATTTTATCATGGTTGTATGATACTGACTTTCCCAAAGCAATTTGTGAGTTGTTTTCATCTTTGTGAGCATTTGGTATTTTTTATTTGGCCACTTTAGTGTGTCACACCCTCTTATATTTCCTGGAAATGGCATCCATTGATCCTTAATTCTTGGTATTCATGCCTTGTGTAGTCCAATCCCATAATATATATGGATGACATGTGTAACCAATAGGCTATTGCAGGAATGACAACTGAGTGACTTTGAAGCTAAGTCATAAATGATATCATAGTTTATGTCTTGTTTTATTTTAAATTACTTGGTAAAACCAGCTGCCATGTCATGAGGATGCTTAAGTGGCACCATAGGGAGGTCCATGTGGTGAGGAACTAAGGCTATGTTCAGTAGCTAGCCAGTCATGGGAATGTGCCACCATCTTGGAAGTGGATTCTCCAGTCCTGATCAAATCTTTTGATATGCCCCTGGGCAACATTTTTACCGTGACCTCCAAATTCCTGAGTCAAAACCACCCAACTATAGTATTCCTACAGAAACTCTGTGAGATAAAAAAACATTACCGTTGTTTTAGGCTGCTAATTTGTTATGCAGAAATGGATAAACAAGGTACACTGGTAGTTGGAGACGGAATGCAGTTGTATCTCCCAAACTGTGGTCATGCCTTAATAGCAGGGAGTAGGTGAAAGGTGGAAGGATCTGAAGGCTGTGAAAGTCTATTGATAGAAACATGAGGGCCTTTGAGGCTGTCAGTGAGGGCTTATCAGAAAGTGTGGTAGGAGGAATTCTAAGATGGCCTCAAGATTTCTGCCCCCAGTGTATATGTTTTTTTTGTATTTGCTCCTTTTGAGCAGGACCTATGAGTATGATGGAACATTGCTGTCATGGCTATGTTGCATTACATGGCAAAAGGGATTTTGAGCACATCAACAAATTTCCTAATTAAGTGACTTTGAATTAATCAAATGGGTGTGTATTCTTAGTAGTTCACATTGAATTGTTTGAGACCTTAAAACATATAAACACCAGCAGCAGAGATTATCCTGCTGGCATAGAGCAAATGAACTAGCATAGTTCAAGAGGGCTTTTGGAGGGGGCATGTGGCAGACAAGAGACGACTAGTATTTGCAGGCAGCATAGAGAAAGGTGTTCCGAGGAAATAATATTTGAAAAATGAGGAGGCTTGAAAGTGTATGACATGTCTGACTATGAGTAGAAAACTCAATCTCAGAGAAGTTATGCTCAAACCCAGTGAGTGGTATTTCAGAATTTGAATCCCATTTAATACCTAAAGTTATTCCATTATTCATTTGTATGTCATCTTGTCTAGAAGAGAATAAGGATTCTAGCAAAGTTATGGGAGATGGATTGAAGAACAGCTAGACAAGGAACCTGCTAAAGCTATGAAGAGCATTTTGAGGAACGCTGATGAGTACACTAAGCAAATTTCCCATCCTGTCCCTGTTATGTTTTCTGTATCTTTGTGTTGGCCTCTTAATTTCTTGGAGCATCAGGTGAAATGAGGATGACAGTGGGGCTTACCTCATAGAGTTGATGCAAAGATTGAGAAAACATCCATCAGGTACCTAACACCACATGTGAGATGTAGTGGACCCTTAGTATACATGGAAATCAGAAGATGACTGTTTAGTAAATGTAAAGACAGGCCTACTCCTAGAAACTTTTATTAATTAGTGACATGGACTTCAAGGTGTATACATGGGTACAACAGTGAACAAGACAAATCAGTAAATATTTGAACAAGTAGATTTTTGTATTCCAATTTATCTTTAGCTGACACATAAGAATTGTAATATTTATGGGGCACAATGTGTGATAATCTATGTATGCAATGTGTAATGATCAGGGTAATTATTTCTATTTAATATTTGTGTTGGAAACCTTCAAACTTCCATTCTCTTCCTGTTCTTTATGAAATATATAATAAATTGCTGTAAGCTACAGGTAGAGAATTCTCTTTTTTTCTGCAGTACCTGGGCTCTAACCTGAGGCAGATGCTCTACCACTGGGCTACTCCCCAGACCCTCCCTAGCTGTATTTTGATTTTGGCCACCTGACCCTCTCTTTATTCTCACTGTCCTCTCCTTCCTATCCTCTAATGACTACTCTCCTACTCCCATGAACAAGAAAATAATTTAAAGTGAAATAAAGGATATTAGTTTTTAGGTCAAAGAAACGAAATATTTTTATTTTTATTTAATAATTTCTGATGATGAATTAATAGAAATTCAGACAAAATCAGTACAGGTAAGAGCAAGGAGATACACCAAATGAAATAACCGATTTGGGTTGTGAATAATAGGAAACTACTGGTCTCACCTGAAACTATCCCTGACCTTTTGCAGTCCCTCCCTCCACAACAGCCATTCCTCTTTTGGGTTAATAATTCGAATCATTGTACCCTAGGGGCAGGGATCCTCTCGCCTAAATCCTAGCCAGGCTCATTTTCTCGCGAGAGTTCCTACAGCTAGCTGCAACACAATTGGCGGCAGGAAATGGAGGCCGAGAGGAGCCACGAGACTTGGCACGCTGTGACCTCCCCAGGCCCCGCCCCTCTAGCCACGCCCTCCTCCTGGCTGCGTCTGGTGGGTTGCACGTGCAGTTGTTGTGGCTTGACGTAACGAGATCCCGGAAGTCGTTAGTGTAGGTTCCGCCTCCCAGATGGCGGCGCCCGGTGCACCGGTCCACATCCTCCTTCTGCTCAGCCTTTAATTATAGGTTTGCGGGACCATGGACAAGCCGGGGCTCACGGCCTCTCTGGTGGTGAGTGCGGGCCGGTGGGGTGGGTTGTTTGGAGTGATAAGAGGTTGGCACTGGGGCCCGTGGGAGCTTCTTGGCGTAGCCGTCTTCTTCCGGTTTTGCGCGTTGGTCTCGGGTCACCAGAAGCGAGGACTGGGAGAGAGCACAGAGCGAAGCCACGTGTGTCCTGTCAAGGAGACTGAAGGAGGACGACCTGACTTCTAGTCGCCTGCATGCTCGTTTTCTGAGAGCGAAAACAGCTTTCATTATGTACATCACTTTGAACTTGGGAATTAAATAAGATATATTTAACTAAAGAACCCCTTATTCAAATCGCTCACAGCCCCTCTGTCCCAGGCTACGGTTGTCATTTTGCTATGTGTATTTTTTTCTGTCTCAGAAAATGTCACATCCAACCGTTCATTCAGCACATACTTAATCTGCTGCTTCTGCGCCAAGTTTAGGCTTGAAGGTCATAATTGAGCACAAAGAGCTGTGCTATGGATAAAGAGCCTGTCAATAGATAGGCTTCTTATTTAACGCCTTTGAAAAAATATGAGAAGCAACACGTTTTAACATCAAAAAGGAAAAGAGCAAGTGCAAAAATCCTTTCTCAAATATTGTGGATCCTCTGTTGTGGAATGCCTGATACGGGAACAGAAACACAGCAGTGATCAAGACAGATTGGCTGGCTGTGTTTTCATTGTGCAGGAGTGGGCAGAGACAAACAATAAACACCATAATTTAAAAAATGCTTCTTTCAGAGCAAATAGAGACCCAGAACCATTTATTGATGTTAAGTAGCTAATGTTGGAGTGTAGGTGTCCAAGATAAAGCGGTGAATAAGCTAGGCCTGCCCCAAAGGGTCAAGTGTTAAGAGTTTTTCTTCTGAACATTCAGTAGTATTACAAAGTGTTTTGTCATCTTACAGTTCTGTGTGGGAAGCTCTGCTATCTCAGAGGTGCCAGGTGAGGGATGTAGGAAGAAAAAGGTGACTGTGCTGGCTTGTACTCTGAAGGATCATAATGTCAGATGTCATAATTAGTATCAAAGTAAAATAAAAGAAAATTATATGGAGGACTCAGGAAATAGCTTTTAATTTTGACTTGGAGCTGGGAATGGCTTTATAAGGAATGGGGTGTTTGGTTGCAGCCATAGAACTTTGGCAGAGGTGTGTGTGTGTGTATAGGGTGGGGGAGTGAGGAGTGTAGTGAGGAGAGTGGTCTGCTGGCAACAAGGGGCATAAGAAGGGCATTCCAGACCTAAACACAGCACAGAAATGAGAGGTAATGTATTCACATGGTTCAGCATTCAAAAGATAGGAAAAGTTAGCAATTCAGTTAAAAACTTAGTATGTAGGAACCACATATAGAGTTTCCACTTTATGGCTTGTCTGGTTTTGATTTACATCTGTAAATGATGCCCTTAGATATGTGTTGACCTTTCTTTGGCACTATCTTTGTGATCATATTTTTCCACATTTCTTTTTTTTTTTCACAAAAGCATATCAGTTTGGAAATATTCTGCATATAGTTCACTATGATGAGGTCCAGACTTTAGTTTTAATTACATTTTAATGTGCAGCTTCTCTTAAGCAATGTGATGTTTCTTGGGAGATGACTAGTTGGAGCCAGCTCCTTAGTTTTGGTCACTTAAATTTAAAATTATCAAAGAATTTTTAAATATACAAACAGTAGAGAAAATACTATATGAATCCTTGCTGTGTGTGTGAATGTGCGACTTAAAGTTCAAATCTAGATAAAGATTATTAGCTGTTTCAAAATGCAAGTCTCAAAGTAGTATTGCAGATTCACTACTTATTACTTAAAGCAACAAAAATATAACATTCAGGGGAAGACAGGGAACTGGGGATATAATGGAGGTGGTGTACTTGTTTAAAGTACACTGTACACATGTGAAATTATGAAAATAAACCCCATGTGTTATTAATGTATACCAATTCAAAATGCAATGAAAATAAAATAAAAAGATAAAAAAGATTCAGTGTATTTGGAATCTGAATTTGAAGAACTTTTTAAGAGTATCTTTTTTTATAATGTTTATATTTTCCTTTTAACAGATGTCCAAGCATTATAATTTAAATCCGTGTCTAGAATAATACAAAATAGCTTTTCAATATATGTAAAGTGATTATAAGTGAAAAAAAATAGCATTGGGTCTGTTATGAGAAGGTGGCCAAGATAAAATTGTTAAGTGGAATAAACAAAGTACAGAACAGTGTATATTGTGTACCATCTTTTATTTTTAAAAAAGGGAAAAAAATACATCCTCAAATTTGCTTGTATTTGCCTAAAGTAACTGGAAGGTACAGTAGTAAACCAAGAAAAGTGGCTGTTTGCCTGAGGTATTAGGAGACTTTGTACTCTTTACTTTTTTGAGGTTTTTTTTTTTAATGTTAAAAAATGTTTTTGAAACATGTAAGTATATTAAAAGTGAGTCAAAATTGTTTTAAAAATAAGTTAATTCATTAAAATTAATTCAAAAAGTAAATTTAGTTCAAAATTTGCAATTTGTAAATATAGCACAATTATGGTTACTTTTCCAAGAAACTGTTTGAAGTAGAAAGCCTTTTGACTATTGTAAAGAAGTTTGTGGACCAAAAGGTATGAATATATATTTAGAGACTTCTGTCTTCCTGTCCTGTTCCATAAATGGCAGAGAGCTTATTTTATTGTAACCTTTATTTTCTTTTCTTTCCCCTCCAACCTTTTAAAAAAGGCTGGTGGAGTAGCAGGTGTCTCTGTTGACTTGATATTATTTCCTCTGGATACCATTAAAACCAGGCTGCAGAGTCCCCAAGGATTTAATAAGGCTGGTGGTTTTCGTGGAATATATGCTGGCGTTCCTTCTGCTGCTATTGGATCCTTTCCTAATGGTAAACATTATGTTAATATTCTCACTGCTACAAAGGCAAGATAATGGGATTTATTTTCAGCATGGTATGCGATATTGCCTCTAGACAGAATTCCCCATGTGTTTTAGCTTATCTTCTGAATTTATTTTTTCTTTTTAAAATCCATTATTTTGAACCGATAGTATTGTAGATGGTGTTCCAATATGTTTATAATAGAGAAAAGATTAATTTTTAAAATAGGTTTTTGTTGTTAAAATTCCTAGGCAAAATCCTTAAAATATTGCTTTATCATAGATTGTGATTCTATAGAGCCGTGGTTCTCACCCTTGCCTGGACACTGGATCTCTTGTGAGGCTTAGCAGGTTTGATAGTTTCCCAGGTGGTTCCAGAGTGAAGCCAAGTTGTCTGACCACTGCTTTGGAGAGTATGCAAGTGTTGGTTTTTTCAAATACTGGCCTTGTTTTAATTGTTTATTCATGGCCTTTGTGTGTCTGTGTGTGTGCTGAATATTGAATCCAGGGCCACCCCACACATGCCAATAAGCAGGTGATCTACCATTGAACTATATCTCCAGTCCCTAGTAGATGATTCTAGTGGTATTTAAAAGCAAATTAAGTCAACATGGACATCACATGTCCCCAAAATCATGGCTCACTGTGATTCTTAAATTCTGCGGTTTGCTTTCTCTTATTCCAGGATAAATAATGAGAAATTCTTCCCCTTATGCTAACCTGACACTTAAATGCCTGGCCTGTGAACATAGCATTCTCATAAAGATTTTTAGTGGAGAGGGGAAAGAAGTGTTTCCATACTTTTGATTATCATTTCCTTTCATCCTTCCCCCCAGCATTCTAAAGGAGAGCAAAATATTTTGAGGTTATCCTTGAATTTTGTGTATCTTAATACTTGAATAATGGGTTACAAGTTATTATTGGGGACCCACTTGATATAAAGCATGGCTCTAAGTATGGGAGGGGGCATGGGTTTCTCCTGAGTTTGTCCACATTGGAATCACCTGTAGCCCACCCTCAGAGATTATGGCTCAGTTGGTTTCAGATGTGTCCTGGGCATTGGTTGCTTAAAAAAAATTTCAGTGTGACTCTAATATGTGGACAAGTTTGAGAACCTCTGGAATCATAAAGGAATATGCCATAAGTCCCTTACTTTTGGTCACCAGATTTTGTAGTTTTCTCCTTCACTTAGACTCATCATTCCTTAGAATGTTTTCTCTTACATATTGCATGTAAGGGATTGTTGGAGTATTACCTGTAGGGTGTAGGGTACACAATGCTGACATTAAGATCACAGGACTATTTCATAATCTTCCCAGGACTTATGTAATGCATGGAATGTGGTTTTGAATTCATGTGCATGTGTCTGTGGGAAGGTGGTATTCTTTGCCTTACTTTTTTTTTGGCTGTATGAGGGTAAAGAAGTTAAAGCCTAGGGTTTCAGAGATGGCTTTAGTTTTCTACAAATTTGGGGTAAATGGAATTTTTCTTTGTGGCTCCTTTTTTCCTTTTGCTGTTGGTTAAGGTTCTTGTCTGAGTAGAGAACATCACTGTAATCAAGCCTTTTTCCCTTTTTAGAAGAGAATGTACAGAAAGCATAGGTTTTTGTGTGTGTGTGTGTGTGTGTGTGTGTGTGTGTGTAGGACAGGTAGAAAAGACTAGGTGTCAGACAGCCCACCTCTTCTTTGCTTTAACTTGCTCAGAGCTATACTTGGAACCCTACCGTGCTATCATTTCCAGCTAGTGGAGCTTTCTGGTGCAGGGAGGGGGGTTAGAACTTAGATTCCTAAAGGACAAGAGTATCCAAAAGTAGCTATAAATTAGACAAGCTTGAGATGGCTGATGTGAAGCCCAGGAAGTTTTGGCACTGTCTTTCCCATTTTTCCCTGGGTTGGGATGATGGTGGTGTGGGTACAGGGGTGCATGTAGAATTTACAGCTGAATGTGCAGAGCTATTGTATCTGTACATTTATTGTGTGGGCCAAAGCGGGAAAAGCTTTGTGAAGAATCACACACGGAAATTGGCCTGCATACTTGAGACTGCTGAATTGACAATTATTCATGTGTTTAACTGTGCTCCTCATTTGGCCTGGTGCATCTTTGTTGACAGCCTGAGGGTCCTTGTAAACTTGTTGACTTTGGAGAAGTTTGGAGAACTGCTTTTCACTCTCCAGCTGTTTTTCTGAGTGTTTGATGTTCTCATGTCCTTCCAAACATGAATTAGTCATTTCTTCATCTTTCATGCCTGATCTTTTATGGAAGTGATAAACATCTTTTGATTAATAATACGTCGAAAGTTATAAATTCCTCCTGTGCAACTATGATTAGTTTATGGTTATGGGGTAGCTTTTGAAAGATTGCTATTTCTGTTTAATTAAATAGTTGATTATTTCCTTGTTAAGTTGAATTGAGAAAGTATAACTTTCTTTTGAGTAACCAGCAATAAAATGATAGACATTTGAGGAGTATGTTTGCATTTTAACCTATTTAAATGTAGCTGATTGTTTTATGACCATATGCAGTGATATTTTGGATCATAGAAACCCATATCATTTTGTAAAGAGTTGACTGAAAAATGTGAAGTCACTTGTCGGTACAGCTTGGCAGTGCTGGGTTTTCTCATAGGTTTCCTAAGGGCTGGGCTCATGTCGTTTGCATTTTTCAAAGTCCAGGGCCAGGCATAAAACCTGGCTTCAGTAAATCCTGTAAAAGTGAGGGTCGAAAGAAGGTGTACATTTATCTTATCTCCTAATTGAATAGTTATTGTCATGCATTATTCAGAAATATTTCTTGTAAAAGACTGACTTATTTTAAATTTTAGCTGCTGCATTTTTTCTCACCTATGAATATGTGAAATGGTTTTTGCACACTGATTCAGCTTCCTGTTTCGTGCCTGTGAAGCACATGTTGGCTGCCTCTGCTGGAGAAGTGGTAAGTAACAAGTTACGTGAATAAATATTTCAGAAATGCAAATCGTGCATGTTTTTGGTACAGATGGTTATTTCATTTGTAAAGTTTAAAATTTTTAAACTGATACAGAAAAAAAAAAGTTAAACAATTTTTGTACCTTGTGATAGTTTAATACATTTGTTTATTTGTTTTGGTGCTGGGGATTGAACTTGAGGCCTTGCGCACGCTAGGCAAGCACTCTGCCACTGAGCTGCAACCCTAGACTTCACTGTGTAATGTTTAAATGAAAGTAAATATATTTATCTTCTTAAATTTATTATTTATTTCTTTATTGTGGAATTTATTTAATTAAAAAAATTTTTTTTTAAAGATAGGATCTTGCTATGTAACCCAGGCTGGCCTTGATCTTAGAATCTTCCTGCCCAGTATACGTGGTGTGTACAACCATGTCTAGCTTTAGCAGATCTTTTATTAATTATAAAAATGATAAAAATCCCAATAAATTTAATGGATTAAACATGACAGTTAAAAGGTTTAGTCTTAGGATAAAAGAAAAATTCAACTGTGCACTATTTACAAGAGTTAGAACTAAAACATAATTACACAGATAGAGATGGAAGAAGATATTCATGTAAGTTGTGTTAGCTTTGGGTCAGTATAAATTGAGTTGGAAGTACTTTTCCAGAAATTCCATCTACAACATTTTTTCAGGTTAGGTTAGCCACAGAGAAATTTGCACAAGATTTATAAGGTGGGAGTGAACCAGCAGCTGTGTTTATGCTTAGAAGGTGGACCTGGGGTCAGGCACTGGTTTAGCTCATGCACCCTGTCACTATTCTTTGCAGGTTCACTTTCTTGGCCTCTGGCCTACAACTTCTTGAGCTCCTGTCTTTTCCTTCAGCTTCTCCAGATTCTGGGTCAAGTTTATAGGGTCTGCAATGAAGAATATTAGCTTTTACTACAGTTCATCTCCTATAGGTTGGTGAGAAATAGATGTCAGTTTCTAGAAATTATGTATTCTCTATTAGTGTTACTTTCAAAACACATAGTCTGGTATTTATGCAATAATAATAGACCCCTAGCCTTGTGATAGGCAGGGCACATAACAGGAATAGCTATACAGGAAAGGAAAGGGTTTTGGTCTATAAGTTGTTTCTCAAACACTGTCTTTTCTTCTGGCCAAGCATGGTGGTACATACTTGTAATCCTAGCACTTGGGAGACTGAGGCAAGAGGATTGCAAGTTCAAGGCCAGCATGGGCTGCATAGTGAGCTTGATACCACCCTGAGCTACATAGTGGGGCCCTGTCTCAAAAATCCAAACAAGCAAACAAACCAAAAAAACTCCCAAACCAAACCATAAAAAATCCTACAAACTTTTTTTCTTTCTGACTGGAAAAGCAATGGTATATGTTTACATCAGAGAACTTGGAAAACAAATCAGCCTTTAGAACATTTATGTAAAAAACAATTGTGATAGGGTATGGTCTTGTTTTTTATGCATTCTTTTTCCTTGGCAAAATTTGGATCGGAGGGCTGAGCATGTAGGGGCATACCTATAATTCTAAATACTGGGGATGTGGAAATAGGTCTGAGGCTGGCTTGGGCAAAAGTTTAAGACTGTATCTGAAAAAAATAAACTCAAGCAAAAAGGGATGGGGATATGGCTCAAGTGGTAGAGACCCTGTCCAGCAAGGGTAAGGTCTTCATTTCAAACCCCAGTACTACCAAAAAAAAGAATATAGTGAATTGGCAGTAAGGAAAAGAGAGGTCTTAAGAGAAAAGTAGAAGTAAATATTACTTTAAGAAGGTAATTTAAAAAAATGGCTTTTTTGAGACAAAATTTGTATACAATTCCCCTATTTAAAGTTTGCAGTGCAGTGGTTTTTAGTCTATTTGTAATTGTACAACAAACACAAGAGTCAGTGTTAGAACATTTTCATACCTAACAAGAAACCCTTGTATCTTTTATCAGTCATTCCTCATTTTACTCCAGACTTCCCTCATAGACAGTCACAAGTCTGTTTTTTGTCTCTTATGATTAGCCTATTCTAGATATTTCATATAAGTGGAACCCTGTAATATTTGGGCATTGTGACTGTCTTCTTTCAATTATCATAGTTTTTTCCAGATTCACCCATACTGTAGCATGTATCAATACATTTCTTTCTTTCTTTTTTTTTTTTGCAAAATATTCCATTATATAGATATGCTGATCTTATGCACTCATCAGTTGGTTTCCACTTTGTGGTTCTTAGGAATAGTGTTGTTGTGGATGTTCATGTGCATGGTTTTGTATGGACATAAGTTTTTTCTTGTCTTGGGTTTATAACTAGGAGTTAAATTGTTGGTCATATGCAAACTGTGTTTTACTTTTTGAGGAACTGACCAGGCTGTTTGATAATGTGACCACCAATTTATATTCCTACCAGCAATATAAGGGTTTGTCTACTTGCTAAATGTCTAGCAGCTGTCTTGTTGGGGTTTTGATTTGCATTTTCATGATGGCTAATGACTTAGAGCGTCATCTGTTCTTCTTGACTATTCTCATGTCCGCTTTGGAGAACTATTCAGGTCCTTCCTGTCTTATTAAATTCTGCTGTCTTTTTGTTGCTGAGTTGTAGGTGGTTTTTTTTTTTTAAATATATATTCTAGATAGAATTTTCTTACCAGACATATAATTTGAAAACTTTTCCTCCCCTTCTGTGCATTGTCTTTCCATTTTTAAAATATGTGATCTGAGACGCAAGCTTTTAATTTTGAAAATGTCTCATTTATCTATTTTATCTTCTGTTGTGTGTTCTTTTGGCCTCACACTTAAGAAACTGTTGCTTACACAAGGGAGGGGTGAGGATAGGTAAGACACCCAAAAAACTAGATAGCATTTGTTGCCCTCAATGCAGAGAAACTAATGCAGATACTTTAAAGTGACAGAGGCCAATGGGAGAAGGGAACTAGGAACTAGAGAAAAGGTTAGATCAAGAAGAATTAACCTAGAAGGTAACACCCACGCACAGGAAATTAATGTGAGTCAATGCCCTGTATAGCTATCCTTATCTCAACTAGCAGAAACCCTTGTTCCTTCCTATTATTGCTTATATTCTCTCTTCAACAAAATTAGAGATAAGGGCAAAATAGTTTCTGCCTGGTAGCAAGAGGGTAGGCGGGGGAGAGGGAGGAGGTGAGGAGGAAGGGAGGGGGTGGGGGGGAAGGAGGGTGAAATGACCCAAACATTGTATGCACATATAAATAAAAGAAAAAAAAAAGAAATTCTTGCTTAATCCAAGGTTGTAAAGATACACACTGATGTGTTCTTGTAAGAGTTTTATATTTTTAACTCTTAGGCTTAGGTCTTGTATCCATTTTGAGTTTTAATTTTTGTGTATGGTGTGAGGTAGTAGTTTCACTTTATTCTTTTGCATGTGAATAGCCAGTTGTTCCATACCTTTTTTGGAAAGACTTTCTCGTCCATGGAATGGCCATGTCAGTCTTTTCAAAAACCAGTTGATGGTTAGCGTGGTCATACACAGCTGTAATCTTAGCATTTGGGAGGCCAGGGCAGGAGGATTTTGAGTTCCAGGCCAGTCTTGGGTGTATATTGAATCTTTCTTTTTTTTCTTTTCTTTTTTTTTTTTTTTGGTGGCACTGGGGTTTGAATTCAGGCCTCACACTTGCTAGGCGGGTGCTTTAACTGCTTGAGCCACTCTGCCAGCCCTTGGGGTGGGGGACTGGGGGGGTGGGGGTAGGGAGGGGTATATTGAGACACTGTTTCAAAAAGCCAAAAAGAAAGAAACAGATAAATTCTACAAATCAATTAACCATAGACCTGTTTATTTCTGCGCTCTCAGTTCTATCCCAGTGCCTGTCCTTTTGTCAGCACCACACAGTCTTAGTGTAGCACTGTAGCTTTGTAGTAAGTATGAGAACCATTATGACTTCTCCAACTTTGTTCTTTTTTAATGTTCTGGCTGTGCTGGGTGCCTTACATTTCCATTTGAATTTTAGAATGAATTTGTACATTTCTAGGACTGGAGGCATGGCTCAAATGGTAGAGTGCCTGCCTCGTAAGCATGAGACCCTGAGTTCAAACCCCAGTATTGCCAAAAACCTGAATTACATAAGCTATATTCAAAACAAAATAGAGGCAATTTGTACATTTCTGCAAACAAGGTAGCAGGAAGTCTGAGATGTATTATACTGAATTGTAGATTAATTTAGGGAGTATTACTGTCTTAGCGATACTGCTTCCAATTCCATGTGTTGGAATTGATAACCCTCCAGTTCTGAAAACAGACACACAAGATTCAGAAAATCTTGGCAAGGCAATTTCTCTTGATCAAGAGGGTGCAAGCATGTGCTCACTCCAGCTGCACAAACACGAAAGCACAAAATGGCTGACCGTGGGTCCTCCTTATATCTGTGACGCAGTCGTACCTGTTCCTCACCTGGGATTTGTCCAGGTCAGAGGTTCACAATTTTTCCCAATTGGCTAAAAGGATTGGGGGATGGGTTAGGCATGCAGTTTGGTGGGCAATGGAGTTGTACAGGAATCCGGAAGAAGAATCAAGGACCCTTTAAACATGCAAGTCACTTAAGATGTCGAAGTGAGGAATTTTTAAGTAATTTAAGAGAGTAGCAAATACTTTGATAAAAAAGATCCTTTTTCTTACACATGCAAATTTGTCCTTCCATTTGTTTAGGTTTTCAATTTCTTTCAACAATGCTATGTACTTTTAGAGTGTAAGCACTGCACTTCTTTCATTAATTTATTCTTAAGTAATTTATTTTTGATGCTATTGTACTTGAATTTTTAAATTTCATTTTCAGTTAATTCACTGTTACCATATAAAAATAAATTGATTTTTGTATTTTACCTTATATCCTGCAACTTTGCTGGATTCATTTATTCTAAAAATTTTTTACTGGATTCTTCAGGGTTTTTTATATACAAAATCATACCATCTATAAATAGTTTCCATTCTTCCTTCTCATCTGTATGCCTTACCTTTTTGATTTTTTATCCCCCTTTTTTGGCCTGCTTCCTTTGGTTGGAGGCCCCAGTAGAATGTTAAAT